TAATCCTAGGAACTCACACAGTTTCCATATTTCCATCCTAGTTCATGTTTTCATTAGCCAGAATAGAACATCTCACAATCCACAGATAACTAAATAGCAAGGTAGATTTAAATCCAGCCATATCAATAATCACATTAAATGTAAATGGTCTAAATAAGGCAGAGATTTTCACATTGGATTTAAAAAGCAAGACCCAGCTATATACTACCTGTAAGAAACCTGCTTTGAATATAAAGACACACATAGGTTTAAAGTAAAAAGATGAAAAACATATCACATAGTGAATAAAAATATAAGGACGCACAATCATAGTCTTCCAACAGACGCACATGTCCTTTAGCATGGGGTTCATTTTCCTAGAAATAGGGCTACTAAAGCAAGTTACAGACCCACAATCATGCAGTTCTTGAGGAGGTGAATGTCCAGTTCTGTGCTTGATAAATACCTTTTTTGGCATCTTCAAATCATCTTAAGCCATGATGTATCCCCAGCTACAGATTATTTTACTTATTATTTACCAATTGTAGGTCAGAAATGAGAAAGGGCTTTTACTAATCCTCAATGAACTGCTATTCTTTACTGCTTTCTCTCTTACCTTCCTTTCTCCTTCTTCTTTTCCTTCCTCCTCCTCCTCCTCTTTCTCCTTATCATTCACCCCCCTTTCTTTTTCCTTTATCATTTCTTTGAAAATGTCTTATATCATTGTAAAATGTACATTTGAATACATAAGTGATTCTTTTTCTAAGCATTTTTTAAAACTTCATTAGAGCTATCTCCCTTTGCTCCTACAATGGGTTCAAATAAGTCATAGATTATCAAATAATGGCAGAAAGGAAAAAAGAAGAAATGTATTAGAAAGTTCTACTTAATCCAAAGAAAGCGATGTGAGGCACATTAGCAATCATTGCTGAGAACATAGAATTTTGCTCACTCTGCTGTACTGGTGACCTATCATGAAAGAGACAATCACACTCTTCAGGACTGTAATTGACTGATATATGTGCATCCACATTTGCATGTAACAGTGTTTCTAAAATGAATGGCACCATAAAAAGTCGGACTTTTGGGGGTGGGGGGTAGTACAAAATTAATTAGGCCGGAAGCTGAAAGCCTAATTATGTGTTATGTCATTAGGATTAGGATAAAGACTAAAGAGTAGACATCTTAAGTAGCAGATTGGGCTCAATAATTGGGAAAAACGTTCTAACGATTATGATGTCTGAAAATTGGAATAGGTTATTTTTCTAAGCCTGTTAATTTCAGTCATTGGAAGGATTAAGCAGAAGTTGGATTCAAGACTGTGGTAACCTATATGAAACTTTGGGTGAATTAGGAAAAGTTACCCTGTCTGATGGACTTAATAAAAGTTGCTTCCTCTGTGTGAGTGTGTCCCACGCCGGTTATGTGGCTCAGTGAGTGCAGCACGGCCTTAGTTTCAGCCTTTACTTTTCCCCTCAGGAGGGAGCCTTTTGTAGAGTCCTCCTGCTAGAACTGTGGTAGATTAGCTTGCTGAAGTACGTATGAGTTTAGAGTTGATACCCACCAACGTTTGAGTCTATATTTCCAGGTGTAACCTAGATATAAATCAGTGCTTTAGGTCTCCCAGTGTTCACACAGACCACTCTCAAAGAATCATCATGCCAAGATCAAAAGTATCGTGAGAAAAATTTCAATCTTTACTTGTGTCTCTCAAAAACTGTTACACGTGATCCAGTTTATAACCTACACATTTCTCAAAAGAATCAGTTCTTATTCAAGCCTTTCCCTCACACTTCTTAATTGTTCCAGAGGCTCTTACCTGCCACCCCCTAAAATCTTCTCTGAAACCACAATTCGTGAGGTTTTCTACGTCTCCTTTTTCTCCCTCCTTCTTCTCGCATTTCCCGTCTAATTTTTCTTTTCTCTATTCTCCAGATTCTATAATATTAGAAAAAAAAACTGTGCTAAACAAAGAACTTTCCTTAGATTGTGAGAAAACTAGAAGTTGAGCAAGATAAAAATCTCTTCTTGTTTTCCTCCTGGTGTCTCTAATTCTCACTTTCTTTCCACCTATTTTTCTGATTCTTTAAGAGCAGAACCTGGAAACCAAGCTGAGAAAGACTAAATGATTTTTTGGGTGATTTCAGTAGTAGAAACATTTGTTTGTTAATATTTATTAAGCAAATCCTATGTCTACAGCTCCTTCTACTAGATCCTAGAAAAAGAGGCAAAACAAATTATGTGAATAATCCTTGCTCAAAAGGAATTTACAATCTTGTGAATCAGACTGGATAAAATCACATGAAATAGATTTAAAGGAAGAAAACCAATAAACAGTGAAAATGACTGCAGCTCTATACCTGTGAATAGACTGAGAATTACCTAAATGTTGATCACCTGTCAGGAGCAGAAGTGTGGAGAAACCAGGGAAAGTTTCACGGAAGAGGTAAATACTGAGTAAATTAAACATTTGCTCAAGATGTAAAGAAGATATAAAGGACCATGTAACCAGGGAAATTAGTACAGAGGGAGACTGAAGAGTCAATGTAATGTGTGAGCGTGAGTATACTCACCTGCTGGAACAGTCTAGGCAAAATGAGGAGCCTTTTTTCTCAATGGGAATGCAACTCTCCCTTCTCCCCGTATCACTTATTGTGTAACTTGATTGTTATTTATCTTGTTCTGCCTTGAGTTAGTTGGTTATACATTTTTTAATTTTCTTCATGAAATGGTAAATCTTAGAAGATAGACAAAATATCTCTCCCCTCCCCACCTTCCTTCTACAGCACTTCACAGAACCTAGCGAATTATGACTGTTCAATAAAAACTTGCTGAATTAAATAGAATTGATAGGAAACTAGACAGAGTAGGGGTAGGGAAACTGAGAAGGGTTGTATGGCTTCTGCTGATGAGTTTAAGTTTGATATCGGGGATCACTGAAGTTCAAACGTATCTGTGATATGATCAAATGAGGTTTTAAGAAGAATTCCTCTGTCGGTCCACATATGAAGCAGAAGATGATAAGTTCATCTTTTTATTGGCATAGGTATTGAGATGTCTCATATAGAAGGTGTGTAGTACTGAACTTTAAGCCACTCTTACTCATTGAAACTTTTGAATAAATGTATTTAACCTTCTTGAATTTTATGGGTTGGTCAAGTTACTCTAAGAATCTTGTGTGTGAATAAATTTCTTCATAAAAATTTTGGGGTTTTTATTGCCATTGCTGGTTATAAATAGGAGTGATCCATGCTCTAGAGGGAAAATTTGGCATGTTTTCGATAATATTAATATGTATGTATGTGGAATGGGAAAAAATCTGGAATTGGAATTCCAGATTTAAGCTTAAAAAAGATTTTTAGGAAAGATTTATTCTAAATTTTAGGAATTTTTAGATTGGAATTCAGAACTATTTCATTAAACTAATTTCTCCTCCTTTCTGGTCTTAAACTGTTTTAGAACAATTGCTGGCACTGATGTGATTTAGGTACTTCTATACAAATTCACCTTCAATTCTGAAAATCCTGTTAATGTGAATTCTTTGTTACTAGGATTTAGCACAAATTTTAAAATGGTTGAAATTACACAAATAATAGCTGTTGATTGGTGATTTGTGTGTGTGTGTATACATGTATACATAATACACAAAATATAATATATAAATATATATATACACGAAATATAACATATAAAACAGTTAAAGATTGCTTTTTGTGAAGGAAAAGCAATATAACATCTCTATTAAGAGTGGATTTACATTTGCCTGGTGCGTCCACCTCTCACGTAAAGAGGTAGGGTTAAAATGCTATGACTTAGTCTCTAAATGGGGCTCTCTCTAGGGGCTCCAAGCCTGAACTACTGAATAATTTGGAAATTTAATATAATGTAAACAATTGGAAAAATGCAAAGAAGAGTCTATTCTGTAGATACAAATAAAGTCTCCCTCTCTCTCTCTCTCTCTCTTCATTGGATTTAAAAAGAAAGGCAGTTTTGCACAGATATAAAGCCAAAGATGTCATCTTTGGAAAACAGAGAGCAACTCTTCACTTTAATTTAAAAACAATGGGTGAAAGTACAGCAAGGGACCTTAGAAATAGGCAAGGGACTCAAGCACTTTACTATTCTAAAGGCTTCCAGAAACCAGATTTCTAGTCTTTAGACAAATGGGCATTAAAAGCTGCAGTAAACTATATACATGGTAATCTTTTCCTTGGCTCCCTAACTTCAGTTAGTATATTGGCTTTTTGGTTTAATTCCAATGGAACAGTTCAGAAATGCAGTCTTTTTCTTCTTGGGGCTGAGAGAAACAATCATAAAATAGTCTTTGATTGTCTGTTCTAAATGCAACACCCTTTCTTAAAAAGAGGACACACATCACTAAAGTTACGAGGAAAGGGGGCAACACCACAAAAAAGTTAGGGACACTTCAGACAATAGTTTGAGCCATGTGTTATTCCTCAAGAAATTTCAGTTACCCTAGCATCAGTGTGCAATTACACGACTTAGAGAAACAGAGAAAACTGAATGAACAGTTTCAGAGACAGGGAAGAGCTCTAGCCACAAATATTTTTTCATTGTGATACTTATTTTCTTAGCCCATGAGATGAAATTACAGTGTGTTTATGAGAACTAGTTACTCCTTTCCCAGACTGGGCAGTGGCTATCTGAATATTTCTGTATGAATGAAAACCTCATCTGCCAGGGAATAAAAATGATAAAGCCCTTTAGCAATACCCTGTCATGTCTCTGAACTTCGTAGAACTGGCAGGCATCTAATCTGTTGAAAATATATAGCTTCCAAAGAAGTAAGGCCGGATTCTCTGGATAAATTTTGTGTGACCGGCCCCTCTGGCAGTTTTATGATTTTGCATAGCTTGTAGGGAGAGACTGGACTAGCCGGATGCTTCCTGGTTTCATTAGCATAGCCCAGCCCACTTCCAACACACGCCCAGAACTACCTCATTAACCATTGGGATTGCAGCCAAAAACATAAGACTACAGTGAATATAAGGGGAATTACTGGCGAGAGAGAGCTGTAGACTAACTTCACACTGAACCCATTACTTTTCCAAGATCAGAGAAAATATTACATTAACAAAGCAACTACTTCTTATTCAGACAAGAATTTAAGGTTTTAATCTATAGTTTTTATCTAGAATAATTAGCTGTACCATGATAAGACATACAGCCCAGCTGCATATATTTAAGTGCTTCTGTTAATCTTTCTCTCTCTCTCTCTCTCTCTCTGTTTCTCTCTCTCATTTATTTATTTTCTGGGTAGCTTTGACATTGTGAACCACAGATAAATTGGAGCCTGGCATCGCAAGGAGGTGTTCTGCAACGATTTTTTTTTTCTTGTTTAAAGAACTTCACTTCTACAAGAGGAAATCCAGAAAATGACAGGAGCAAAGAGGAAAAAGAAAAGCGTACTTTGGAGCAAGATGCATACCCCCCACTGTGAAGACATTAAGCAGTGGTGTAGAAGGCGGCTACCTATTTTGGAATGGGCACCACATTACAATCTGAAAGAAAACTTGCTTCCAGACACTGTGTCTGGGATAATGTTGGCAGTTCAACAGGTGACCCAAGGTAATGTATTGCATTTGATTCTTCTGTGTTATGCAGATTAGATGTCACTTTGCTTTCTTGGAAGAGTATTGTCACCTAGGATCCACAATGTAGCTAAAGAAATGGATGTTAACTTTGGGGAAATAACACACTGGATATCAGTGTACACGAGTTTTTCTAGTTGTGTTTTCTTCCCCTACTTTTTGATAGCTATTCAGCATTGAATCAATTTTTGAGTGCTCTTACATATTTGCAGCGTTACAATTCATACTGTTTTAAAGCAAAAGATCAGTAATTGTGGGAAAATGAGTTTTTATAATGTGATCTTACTGATAGAGTTTCCTACTTTTATGGAATCAAGCTATAAAATATCTGCTGGCTTGAACACAATCATTTTTGAATCTAATTAGCAGCACACAATTACCTGTTGTAGCCTTGAGAGTTGCTATAAACAGGGAACAAAGCTTTCTGTACATAAGGGAGGCTCTTTGCCAAGATCCTTATTTGCAAGGAGAGTCCTGTATGTCCTTAGAGCTTATGTTTTACTGTTACGCTGATTGACTTTTGTGTCACATTACCTACCACATCTATTTCTCAATAAGAAATTTAAACCGGTGAGAAGTCTGATTTTAACTTTCCCAGAGCAGATTCTAAATATTCTGGATTTAGATAAGTGTTTCTATTGCTGAAAGCTAGTTAACTAGTGTGCACGTGTGTGGGTGTGTTTTCCTTAAAGGTATATTCATTGCAGTTTTTGTCTTAATTCAGGTAATGATTTTCTACCTGTAGCAAGGAAAGGAATTCATTTCATAGCCTTGAGAATTTGGAGCAGTTTCCTTGGCATAGACTCTGTAGGTTTATATTTCCTTGTAGTTTCACTGCCTCCCTGGCTTTGACTATTATTCATATTGCTAAATTATAAACACTCTTTTAATTAAATTATTCCGTGGCTGGAACAAACTGGTTTGTATATTTGTGTTTTTAGTATGATTAGGAACATCTGCACTGGTGGCTTTACTTTAAGATCCATAATACTATCATATTTTATGGGATTCCATTTCACTGAATAGTCTCGTATTGCATTTTTTTTTTTTTTTCTTTTTCTCTCAGCATATTATGGGGATACAGATGTTTAGGTTACGTATGTTGTCCTTGCTCGCCCCTCCCCCCCAAGTCCGAGTTTCAAGTGTGTTCATCCCTCGGATGGTGCGCATTGCACTCTGTGTATGCAAATACCCATCCCCTCCTTCCCCGTCCCCCTCCTCCCTGCCCGACATCCAGTAGATATTATTCTTATATGTGCATCTCTTGTATACTCCTGGATAGAGCTGGAATGCATTCTACTAAGTGAAGTATCCCAAGAATCATATTACATTTTTAATGACCATTTTGCCAAGAGCAAAGTATAGTGATCTTTCAGAAAAATGCAAAGCAAATAACAGGTTAGAGCATTTTTAGCCTTGTTTTTACTTAATTTTGAATTCAAATTGCAATACTACCATAAGCTTTGAAAACTTAGGTGATGAACTCAAAGGGGCTTTTTCACCAGATAGTTCCAGCATATGTTATAAATTTATTTTGCTTTAATTTAGTGTCAAATGAATGAGAATTATGTTTTTAGTAATCATTTTTTTTTTTTTTTTACCTTTTGAAAATATCAGGTTAATAAGAAAATTTGGTGACATGATAAAGTTACCTGCGGCACATCATTAGTAATATTGTTTATATGTAAGTCTTTGGTAGTTAATTGTATGATTTTAATTTGGAGGTAGATTTTGAGGGGTTTTGTTTTATGAATCATGTATTTCATTGGTTATAAAGAAACACATTGGCCAGATCCCTGCCCCTCCAGGGCCGGTGAGAAACACAAAGCTTACTGAGCCCTTATGTCTTGGGACATGACGGACCTGGCTGGTGGTTCTCTTGGAAGGCGATCAGAGAATGGATAAGGCTGTGCTGATAGGGAGAGCTTAAAGGTTTTCGCTGGTACCCGAAAAGGCTAGTCCTTCTAAAAGTGGCTATTCTTTTAAAAACAGTTCTCTCAAACTTTTTCACGCCCATCTATCATGGAGAGCTAAAAAGTGAGATATCGTAAGCTGCCACTTGTAAGGGGCACTGTGCTAAACTCCTTATGTAATCATCTCCCCTTACCTGAACAAAATCCTGAGAGACAGCAGTCTTCTTTCCCTTTCCCATATGAGAAAATGGAGGCTTAGAAGAGAAAAGAATTTTCCCTGGACCTCGGACCTGATAAGTGGTAGAGTCAGGACTTGATTCCAAAGCCAACACTCTTAACGTTTTCACTTCATACTCTACGCTGCCAAAATAACCAGACTTCTCATAATGCCAATGTTGTTAGTAATGGAAGACATTTCTTTGGAAAGGTATGAATATCCTTCCCCTCAAATTACTTTTGCATTCAGGTTTCATCCCTGCAGGTTTTAGACTCAAGGGCGAAGTGACAAGAAAAATAACTAGAGTAGGATACAGAGCAAGGAAGGCATTTAGATATCATCAATTCATATTTGTGTGAATATGATATTGGCAATTATTATCAGCTTCATTTCTTTAGGAACATTAGAAGAAAGAAGGGGTTATTTTTGTTCTTGTATCATAACACAAGCAAAAGGAACACATACCTTTGTTAACTCTACTGATTTTCCAAGCAGCTTTTCATTTACTCAGCATAGTTGAATTACATGAAATTATCAACTTCAATGTTTTTTTGACTTATGTCGGTCAATCGTTGACCAAATTGGTCCATGTTTTTTGAACAATGTATGTCAAAAACATGGAAAGTTTATATGATTCCATCTACTGGTTGTTTTTCATTCTTCTATTTTAAGAAATGCATTTAAAATTAAGAAGGATGATGGAAACTAACATTTGAGTGTTCTCTATATGTCAGATACCAAGAAGATATTTAAATTACTTTATTAAAGATTTCCTAATTAAATATAGATGCTTTTCTGTTACCAATATACTTGACTCCTCTATGGCATTTTCTGTGTTGATTATATTCTTTCTAAAACTTTCTTTTCTTGGTTTTTAGATACCACTTTTTTTGTTTTTCTCCTGCTACTGTCTGGATTTTTCTTCTTATGTCCCTCTGTAGATTTTTACCTCCTACTCTACCCATTAAACAGTGTCCTGGAGACTCAAACGCTTGCCTTCGTCTCTCAAAGTACCATAGGTGATTTCATCCACATAAAATATGTGAATGAAACTTTCTTCTCAACCTGAAATCCCCATATTTAACTATGCAAACCCAGAATGTTCTAAAAGCCCTTCAAATGCAACATTCAGTCTTTTAAAACAAATGGAATGAAACCACCATTCTAACCAGAATTACAATAATCAATAACAATAACAATAATTTTAGGTATGCATATAGCACTATTGTAAGAACACTTGACATATATACAAAACTGAAGCTCCACAAGGATAAATAGCTTGCCTAAAATCACAGAGCAAATGAGTGGAAAGGTAGGATTTGAACCCATGTAATCTGGCTCCAGAGATGATGCGCTCAGCTTTATACCAGATTACCTCCTGTACAAAGTCTTGTGAGTCATTCTCAACTCTTCCCTCTCTTTTGCCGCCCTGCCCACTGGCATATGATCAGCCACCATGCTCTGTCATTTCCATCCCCTAAATATCTTTCCAACCAAGTAGTCTCGCCTCACAGCCCCTGCTGCTGCCCTAATTCTCTGTCTGAACATTTACAGTCATCTTGGGAGCCTTCATTCTCTACTATGTCTCCACAGGTAGGCTATATTCCACACTTCAGCCAGAATAATTATAAAAATCTTAATGTATTGCTTCCCTGTTCAGGATTCTTTGATGACCCTCTATTTCCTCTAAGATAAAAACCTAATTCTTTAGCATATCCTATTATGTCATTAATCATCTGGGCCTCTTGACACAAAGTTCTACTCAAAGAGATCTCTCCCCTGAGAATCCTTCCCAATCTCCTGGGAAGACTTATGTTTTCTTCCCTCCTACTCTCTTTGTACTTTTCACATATCTCTATGATAGGCCTTAATACATTGTATTATGATATTTTGGTACAACTCTTTCCACACTGGTCTATAAGCTCTGGAAGCAAAGACAATGTCTTAATCTTTGTATTCTTACCTCCTTATATATTGCTTGGAATATAAATGCTTGTTGGAAGAATTAAAACATTCTAGAGGCTGGTGATGGTTCTATTGCAGCATGCTGCCACCCTAGGAAGGAAATTAATTAAATTAATTCCTATGTTTTATATGTAAACATAATAAAGATATTGATAGTAAAAAATACATTAAAAATATGAGTAATTGATTTATTCTGACTTCTTTTACTTTCTTGAAGTTACAAACTTGCAGCCTTCCAGACAAATCTGGTAAAAGACACATTTCCTTTGTCTCAAACAATGTTAATTTTTTCTTTAGCCAACATTAACAAATATGAATAGTTCATATAAAAATCCAGATGCCTACTTCTCTTGAAAAAGCTAGGGAGACAGGGCCATACGTGGCCCAAATTCCAAAGTGGCAAAAATCTGGGGGACCTTAATAGAGGCCTGCCTTTGTGTTTTGTCTCATCCCCACCACTCACACATTCACGATCACCCTTCTTGCTAGTATTCCCATTACCTACCTAGTTCTATGGGTGACAAATTTGTCTCCTCTGCCAAGACGCTTTCTAACATGTTTTGTTGCAATGCCTTGAACTCACTCTTGCATAATAATAGTAAAAACCTTTATAAAGAGATTACATAACATTAGCTTCTTAACCTAGATCGACAGACCCTTCATGTCTGTGAACCTGGACTAATATAGTCTAATATATTTCATTTCTTTATAATCCTTGCATTGTCTCCTACTTTTTTTTTTTTTTTTTTTTTGAGACAGAGTCTCACTGTGTTGCCCGGGCTAGAGTGCCGTGGCGTCATCCTAGCTCACAGCAACCTCAAACTCCTGGGCTCAAGCAATCCTTCTGCCTCAGCCTCCCGAGTAGCTGGCACTACAGGCATG